AGCACTTCTGCCTCGCAGTTTTGGGGTTCTTGGTTTGATTGCTGGCCAGAATACTAACTGCATGGAATTTGCATGTTCTCTCTGTGCCTTCATGTGTTTCCTCCAGGTACTCTGGATTCCTCCCATCCTCCAAAGACATGCTGGGAGGTTAATCGGATCCTATCTAAATTGGCCCTAGTATGCGAGGCAGGCCCTTAGGTTGTAAGCTCCTTGAGGGCGGGGAGTCATGTGAATGTCCAATATGGGAAGCACTCCCATATGGAACAGAAATATATTTCCAATATATTTAGAAAAAAAAAATTATACATGTGACATCTATTTACAACATATTGGCCGACATATATATATATATTTATATATATTTTAACACGTATTCCAAAAACATAAATTAAAATATATTTTCTAAAGGCATCTATTTAAAAATATATTTTCCAGATATTTTTGAACAGCTAAAAAAAATGCATTTAAAACGTAGATTTTTAAATATACTTGTAATAAATATTATATACCTTCTGCGCTAAGGAAGTGTACAGCAACTCAAGCAATAATATTAAATGACTATATGAATAAATAAATCAAATAAAATGTTGGCAGCTAACACCCACACCCAGGGGCGGACTGACAACTCATGGGGCCCCCGGGCCATAGGGGATCATGGGGCCCCTGTGTCCTTGCCCAAACTCAAAAAAGCCTATGAAAAAAGGTACCAGGGGCATCTCATGGGGCCCCCTACTGACCCCGGGCCCTCGGGCAGTGCCCGAGTTTCCAAATGGTCAGTCCTCCCCTGCCCACACCCAAAAGTGAAAAATAGTAAATGAAAAAAAAAAACGGTGCAGCGCTCAAAACCAATAAATAAATATTATATATAAATGAATAATACATATAAAATAATAAAAACCTGTAATATTAATGTTTCAAAGTGATCTTTCAATAATACCTTCATCCCTCTCGGAATCAAACAAGTGATAAAGCAAAGTGCAAGAGATCTCTAATCAATCTCTCAATAGTGCCTTGATCCCTAAAGGGATCCGAACGTGACAAAACGAAGTGAAATAGTGAGGATATAATACAACCTGTGATATACTTCAATCAGCGTGCTTCTCAGCTACCCCGATCCTCAATTTAGGATCAATGCCTGATCATAGATAACAGTGAAACCAAACAAGTGATCAGGAATTGACTGATCAAACACAATCAGTGATTACGTGATCCCAGCACTGGGGGATAAATCATACAAACAGAGTGAACGGTGCTTCCAAAAATCACATACATAAAATGCTAATAACAAAATCATTTCCCAAATGATGCAACAATAATGTGAATCAAAACACATAAAAAATCCAACCAAATCCAAAAAGATCAGTGTAAATAAACGCAGGTGTTCCCCAATCATAACCGTGCAGATGGTGCTGTGGATGGGCACTGCAGCCCCTGGTGATAAATCCCAAAATATCTGAATTGCCTCCTCACCTCCTTACTGTGACCCAATGGGCCAAATAGCTTTTGGATCACCCCTGGATCCTCCAAGTGCGATATCATTTTTAATGGACTCCTTCCAGTAGCAGCATATTAACCCCTCACCTCCCGGGCACTTCTACCCCCTTCCTGCCTACCGGGCACTTCTACCCCCTTCCTGCCTACAGGACACTTCTACCCCCCTTCCTGCCTACAGGGCACTTCTACCCCCTTCCTGCCTACAGGGCACTTCTACCCCTTTCCTGCCTACAGGACACTTCTACCCCCTTCCTGCCCACCGGGCACTTCTACCCCCTTCCTGCCTACAGGGCACTTCTACCCCCTTCCTGCCTACAGGGCACTTCTACCCCCTTCCTGCCTACCGGGCACTTCTACCCCCCCCTTCCTGCCTACAGGGCACTTCTACCCCCTTCCTGCCTACAGGGCACTTCTACCCCCTTCCTGCCTACAGGGCACTTCTACCCCCTTCCTGCCTACAGGACACTTCTACCCCCTTCCTGCCTACAGGACACTTCCTACCCCTTACCCCCTTCCTGCCTACCGGACACTTCTACCCCCTTCCTGCCTACAGGACACTTCTACCCCCTTCCTGCCTACCGGGCACTTCTACCCCCTTCCTGCCCACAGGACACTTCTACCCCCTTCCTGCCTACAGGACACTTCTACCCCCTTCCTGCCCACAGGACACTTCTACCCCCTTCCTGCCTACAGGGCACTTCTACCCCCTTCCTGCCTACAGGGCACTTCTACCCCCTTCCTGCCTACAGGGCACTTCTACCCCCTTCCTGCCTACAGGACACTTCTACCCCCTTCCTGCCTACAGGGCACTTCTACCCCCTTCCTGCCTACCGGGCACTTCTACCCCCTTCCTGTCCAGGCCAATTTTCAGCTTTCAGCGCTGTCACACTTTGATTGACAATTGCACGGTCATGCAAGATTGTACTCATATGAAATTTTTATCATTTTTTTTCTCACAAATAGAGCTTTCTTTTGGTGCTATTTGCTCCCCGCTGGGAACTTTACTTTTTGCGCTATAAACAAAAAAACTGCAAAAAATTTGAAAAAAAAAAGTTTCTTTGTTTCTATTATAAAATTTTTCAAACAGGTAATTTTCTCCTTAACTGATGTGTGTTGATGAGGCGGCACTGATGGGCACTAATAGGCGGCACTGATGGGCACTGATAGGCAGCACTGATGGGCACTGATAGGCAGCACTAATGAGGTAGCACAGATAGGTGGCACTGATAGACAGCATTGATAGGTGGCACTGACTGGCATCATTGCTGGGCACTGACTGGCGCAACTGCTGGGCACTGACTGGTGGCACTGACTGGCAGCACTGCTGGGCTGCACTGATGGGCACTGGTGGGTGGCACTGGTGGGCACAGGTGGGTGGAACTTCTGGGCACAGGTGGGTGCACTGCTGGACACAAGAGGGTGCACTGCTGGGCACAGGTGGGCGCACTGCTGGGCACAGTTGGGTGGAACTGGTGGGTGGCACTGCTGGGCACCGATCATTGGGGCACTGATCATCAGTGCCCTGATGATCGGTGCCAATCCCTGCTCTAACAACTGACGGTTCTCGGCAGTACTTTCCTCTGATCTGACAGCGGGTTGAAAGTGCAGCCAAGAATCGGCAATTGCATTTCCCTGTGATCAGCGTTTCATTGGACATGGCTGATCACGTGGTAAAAGGCCGCTGTGATTGGCCTTTTACCACATCATGTGATCATCTGGTGATCACCGGGGGCGTGCAGGAGAGTGCGTTCTGGGAGGATGTCATATGACGCCCTCCCAGAACTGTCCAGCCGCAGAGCAGCCGTCATTCGGCTATCTGCGGTTGGCAAGTAGTTAAACACATCAAGGTCCCCCTTTGGTCTGAGTGATACGATCAACTCCCACAAGACTCATGTTTAACCTTTTGCCACCTGGCCAATGGCCGATTGGTGGCCGGCAAAAACCCTCACCGTTCCGGGTGGACGCCATACGGCGTCCTTTCAGGCATGCGCAGTTTGCGCACCTGCAGAGCCGCACAGCGACGCGATCTGTCACCGGCCATGTACCTGAGACACAGCCGATTGCAGATCTGAGTACCGGCCCCATTGCCAGTATCATGTGACCTGCTGTGACCAATCACAGCAGGTCACATGACAGTTGTATACAATGGATGGCTTCATTCATGCCATCCATTGTATACTAGTAATGGTGGATATCTGTACTGTCCTGACATTTGGGGGATGTGTCTAGGGGATCTGTGACATTTAGGGGATATCTGTACTGTCCTGACATTTGGGGGATGTCTGTACTGTCCTGACATTTGGGGGATATCTGTACTATCCTGACATTTGGGGGATATCTGTACGGTACCGTCCTGATATTTGGGGGATCCCTGACATTTGGGGGATATCTGTACCGTCCTGATATTGGGACATTTGGGGGATATCTGTACCGTCCTGACATTTGGGGGATATCTGTACCGTCCTGACATTTGGGGGATATCTGTACCGTCCTGACATTTGGGGGATATCTGTCCTGTCCTGACATTTGGGGGATATCTGTCCTGTCCTGACATTTGGGGGATATCTGTACTGTCCTGACATTTGGGGGATATCTGTACCGTCCTGACATTTGGGGGATATCTGTACTGTCCTGACATTTGGGGGATATCTGTACTGTCCTGACTATTGGGGGGATATCTGTCCTGTCCTGACATTTGGGGGATATCTGTACCTGTCCTGACATTTGGGGGATATCAGTACCGTCCTGACATTTGGGGGATATCAGTACTGTTCTGACATTTGGGGGGATATCTGTACTGTCCTGACATTTGGGGGATATCTGTACTGTCCTGACATTTGGGGGATATCTGTACTGTTCTGACATTTGGGGGATATCTGTACTGTTCTGACATTTGGGGGATATCTGTACTGTCCTGCTGATTTGGGGGATATCTGTACCGTCCTGACATTTGGGGGATATCTGTACTGTTCTGACATTTGGGGGATATCTGTACTGTCCTGACATTTGGGGGATATCTGTACTGTCCTGACATTTGGGGGATATCTGTACTGTCCTGACATTTGGGGGATATCTGTACTGTCCTGACATTTGGGGGATATCTGTCCTGACCGTTATCTGACATTTTTGGGGGATATCTGTACTGTTCTGACATTTGGGGGATATCTGTCCTGTCCTGACATTTGGGGGATATCTGTACTGTCCTGACATTTGGGGGATATCTGTACTGTCCTGACATTTGGGGGATATCTGTACTGTTCTGACATTTGGGGGATATCTGTACTGTCCTGACATTTGGGGGATATCTGTACTTTGGGGGATATCTGTACCGTCCTGACATTTGGGGGATATCTGTACCGTCCTGACATTTGGGGGATATCTGTACTGTTCTGACATTTGGGGGATATCTGTACAGTACTTTGGGGGATATCTGTACCGTCCTGACATTTGGGGGGGATATCTGTAATGTTCTGACATTTGGGGGATATCTGGGTACTGTCCTGACATGATATTTGGGGGGATATCTGTACTGTCCTGACATTTGGGGGATATCTGTACCGTGCTGACATTTGGGGGATATCTGTACTGTCCTGACATTTGGGGGATATCTGTACCGTCCTGACATTTGGGGGATATCTGTACTGTCCCGTCCTGACATTTGGGGGATATCTGTACTGTCCTGACATTTGGGGGATATCTGTACTGTCCTGACTGTATCTGTACTGTCCTGACATTTGGGGAATATCTGTACTGTTCTGACGTTTGGGGGATATCTGTACTATTCTGACATTTGATATCTGTATTCTTGGACCTCAAGAAATTAGATTGGCCGTCAGTACTTCAGGATTGATCGATATTCAGATATATACCATAGTTTGTGAACTCTATAACTTTCCTACAGATAAATAATACATCCTAATTTGGGTTATTTTCACCAAAGACATGGAGCAGAATACATCTCGGTTTAAATTATGAAGAACAATTATTTATTTGCAAACTTTTATAACAGAAACAAAGAAAAACTTGGGGGGGTTTCAAAATTTTTGGACTTTTTTGTTAATTTAGCAAAAAATAAAAACCCCAGTGGTGATTAAATACCACCAAAAGAAAGCTCTAGTTGTGTGAAGAAAATGATAAAATTTTAGTTTGGGTACAATGTTGTATGACCGCGCAATTGTCATTCAAAGTGTGAGAGCGCTGAAACCTGAAAAATGGCCTGGGGGGGAAGGGAGTGAAACATAGAAGAGAGCGCCTCCATAGTGTAATACGGTTTAATATGTAAAAGTATCCAAAAGTAGCCAATTTCCTACTCGCATAACATCAGATGAATACAGGCGTTTTTTTACAACCTCATGCTATGGGTGTATTAGTGCATGGGTTCATTAGGAGCACCAAGATGGCGTCCACACTGGATATTGCGTCACCACGTCACCTACGCGTTACGTCACGGCACACGTGACTTCATCAGGGTGAGCGCTACACCATTTATTTTTCATTAAATATACTTGTAAATGCATTCCAAATGACGCCTTGAAATATATTTCGGCGCGCGTTCTGAATAATATTTTTAATAATATATTAAATTTTTTATATATTATTAAAAAAATATAGAGATTTTTAATAATATATTCAATTTTTAAATATTATTTTAAAAAATATAGATTTTTAAATATATTCACAAATCTATTGAAATATATTTTTTAAATATTGAATAGGGACAAAAATTGTAGTATTTGAAATATAGGTCGATATATTTGGGAAGAATATGTTAAGAATGTATTTTTAAAATTATTTAAAATATATTTTTTTTTTTTCCATGTGGGCTGTGTGAACTATATAAATGCCTAAAATAAATAAATCATGTATTATAGCTGTCCTATATTTACAGTGTAATTCCGGCTGTGAGCTGAAGATGGCGCTGCTGTACACTGCTCTGGCAGTCAGTCTCCTCCTCTACCTGGCAGGTGAGTGTGTATGGAGGGTCTGATGTCTTCCTGTCCTCTGTGTGCTGTGAGATAAAGTTTTAATTAAAAAAAAAGTGAAATATCTACACAGGTCATGGATCTATTTAAATACGTAAACCATTTACCCCCCCGGATCAGAAGTCTCCGCCCCCCTGGATCAGAAGTCTCCGCCCCCTGAAGGTTCAGCCTTTGGTATAGACACACAACGTGACACACGCAGGGCGCCACGTCCATTAAAGGGTTAATTTCCCACATCTGTGGCTTTTTACATTGCAATCAGTGTCAGTGTATAAATAGTCGATGCGTTTGTTGGCTCTCACGTGGAGGCACTGAGCAGGTGAGATACTGAGCCATGGGGAGCAGACAAGAACTGTCAAAAGACCTGTGTAACAAGGTGATGGGACTTTATGAAGATGGAAGAGGATATAAAAAGATGTCCAAAGCCTTGAATATGCCAGTCAGTGCTGTTCGATCACTTATTAAGAAACTGGAAAGTTTGGGGATCTCTTGATACCAAGCCAAGGTCAGGAAGACCAAGAAACATTCAGGATCTCTTGATACCAAGCCAAGGTCAGGTAGACCAAGAAAGATTGGAAAATTTGGGGATCTCTTGATACCAAGCCATGGTCAGGTAGACCAAGAAAGATTGGAAATTCGGGATCTCTTGATACCAAGCCAAGGTCAGGCAGACCAAGAAAGATTGGAAATTCCGGGATCTCTTGATACCAAGCCAAGGTCAGGTAGACCAAGAAAGATTGGAAATTTGGGGATCTCTTGATACCAAGCCAAGGTCAGGTAGACCAAGAAAGATTGGAACATTCCGGGATCTCTTGATACCAAGCCAAGGTCAGGTACCAAGACCAGGTAGACCAAGATTGGAAAATTCAGGGATCTCTTGATACCAAGCCAAGGTCAGGTAGACCAAGAAAGATTGGAACATTCGGGGATCTCTTGATACCAAGCCAAGGTCAGGTAGACTAAGAAAGATTGGAACATTTGGGATCTCTTGATACCAAGCCAAGGTCAGGTAGACCAAGAAAGATTGGGAAATTCGGGGATCTCTTGATACCAAGCCAAGGTCAGGTAGACCAAGAAAGATTGGAAAATTCGGGATCTCTTGATACCAAGCCAAGGTCTTTCTTGGTCTACCTGACCATGGCTTGGTGTCAAGAGATTCCCGAATTTTCCACTTCTTAATAAGTCATTGAACAGCACTGACTGGCATATTCGAGGCTTTGGATGTCTTTTTCCATCTTTATGAAGTTCCATTACCTTGTTATGCAGGTCTTTTGACAGTTCTTTTCTGTTCCCCATGGTTCAGTATCTCACCTGCTCAGTGCATCCATGTGAGAGCGAACAAACGCATCGACTATTTATACACAGACACTGACTGCAATGTAAAAAGCCTCAGATGCTGGAAATTAACCCTTTAATGGCCATTGTACCTCATGTGTCTGTACCAAGGCCGAACACTCCATGGGGCAGAGACTTCTGATCCAGGGGGGCGGATACTTCTGATCCGGGGGGTGGAGACTTCTGATCTGGGGGGCGGATACTTCTGATCCAGGGGGTGGAGACTTCTGATCTGGGGGGCGGATACTTCTGATCCAGGGGGTGGAGACTTCTGATCTGGGCCATTTGGGGGGATTTCTGTCATCGTCAGGATTTAAAAAGGAACAACAATGCAATCATAAATGGCTTCATCACTACAATAAAAGACAGTTTTTGGAAGATGTGCAAAATGAACAAATTTGTTTTGTTTCGTTCGATGAGTTAAATTCGTTTAATTTGCTTTTCGAATTTGTTTTGTGTATTTGAATTCGACCAAATTTGACATTTCGAAAGGATTAAAAAAAAATTCTGACGTTCCGATCCACGATCCACGTGTGTGTTTTCGATGGAATACGAGGCAATATGAGGAGCTGCGTGACCGTACTGGAAATTTCAGCAAAATTTTCACAGTGCCTCTGTTCGATCACTACTCACGTCACCTGTGGTGCTTTTGGGGGGTAATGAATCAGGAATGAATGGGGCGGAGCCTGACTCCTGTATATAATTGTGATGCGGTGCCTCCGGTTGTCATGGCAACATGACCTAATTGATAATAATATAGACACCTTATCGCCGCCACGTAATTTTCCTGAATTCTTTTCCCAATGCGTTTTTTTTACCAAATATATAAATATCGCCAATTTGATTAATAAATATTTTTTTTTACAAAAATATTTATATATATATATATATATATATAAATATTTTTGTAAAAAAAAATATTTATTAATCAAATTGGCGATATTTGTATATTTGGTAAAAAAACGCATTGGGAAAAGAATATATATATATACACTGTACGTTGAAATGCATTTTTTTATGTATTACAAAATATATGAAAAATATTTTTAAAAAGATATATTTTTTTAAATATATTCTTCAGAGTTTTTTTACACATAAAAAAAAAATAATTTTAACATATATAAGTAAATGAATTCCAAAATAGTAGATTTGTATTTTTAGAGACATACGGCATATTTGAAAATGTATTTTTAAAAATATATTTCATATATTTTGTAATAAAAATGCATTTCACCATACAGTATATATATATTAACCCCTCCCCCTCCAGAGGATTCCCCCCCCCCCCCCCCCCTCCGACCAGGCCATTTTTTGCGATGCGGAGCTGCATTACCGTAACTGACAATTGCGCGGTCATGCCACGCCGAACCCAAATGACATTTACGTCCTTCCCCCCCCCCCCCCCCCAAAATAGAGCTTTTTTTTTTCGGTGGTTTTCGATCGCCGGTGCGATTTTTATTTATTGCGCTATTAAAAAAAAAAAGACAATTTTGAGAAAAAAATCCATATTTTTTACTTTTTGCTATTAAACCCTCCCCCTCCAGAGGATTTCCACCCCCCATCCCCCGCCTTTATGACCAGGCCATTTTATTTGCAATACTGCGCTGCGTTACATGAACTGACAATTGCGTGTGTCTGTCGTCCAAAGGATTCTCCCAAACAAAATGTTTTTTTTTTTCTTCAAGTTGAGAGTGGTGGAGAGTTTGGAATCTGATGGTTTGATGGCTCCTGTGGACAGGTGTCTTTTATACAGGTAACACAATGAGATTAGCAGCACTCCCTTTAAGAGACTGCTTCTAATCTCAGCTTGTTACCTGTATGAGAGACACCTGGGAGCCAGAAATCCTGCTGAATGATAGGGGATCAAATCCTTCTTTCCCTCATGAACATGCAGATCAGTCATCATTTGTTAGACGCATTTCTGCTGAATTTGTTGTTGTATTCTGTCTCTCAGTGTTACACCGAACATTCCATTGAACATTTCTGCAACATTCCATTGTTAGACCGATCATTTCTGTGTGAGGGGCGAAACATTCCATTGTTAGACCGATCATTTCTGTGTTTCCATTGTGTGTGTGAGGGGCGAACATTCCATTGTTAGACCGATCATTTCTGTGTGAGGGGCGAACATTCCATTGTTAGACCGATCGTTTCTGTGTGAGGGGCGAACATTCCATTGTTAGACCGATCATTTCTGTGTGAGGGGCGAACATTCCATTTGTTAGACCGATCATTTCTGTGTGAGGGGGGAACATTCCATTGTTTAGACCGATCATTTCTGTGTGAGGGGCGAACATTCCATTGTTAGACCGATCATTTCTGTTGTGAGGGGGAACATTCCATTGTTAGACCGATCATTTCTGTGTGAGGGGGAACATTCCATTGTTAGACCGATCATTTTCTGTGTGAGGGGCGAACATTCCATTGTTAGACCGATCATTTCTGTGTGAGGGGCGAACATTCAGCATCAGGGGGGAGCAAATACACATATGCAGGGTAAAAAGTCACTATACAGTTGTCTTGTGAACAATGTACAGGAATCCTATTTCCAAAATGGTGGCACGTGCACTTCTGTTTGCGGCTTGACGTCATCGGCGTACCCTACGCGTTACGT